ATACTAAGAGGGTGACATCCCACTGGATGACAGACCATGGATCAAGATTACATGGGCCACCTACACTTATGAACAATAAAATAATTCCTTTTATCAGGTCAACTTCTTAGGGGAAGCAAACCAGTACAGAAAATACAGACCAGTCAGTACAGAAAAGTCTACTACTAGGAATCCCAGTCCAAGGGATTTTTCTTACAGAAACATGAAAAATTTAATGAAGGCTATGCATCCTACTGATCCTTGAGGAATGAGTGGCTGACAGGTGAAAGCAATGCCATAGCACAGCAGCAGCAGCTATATCATAATTGTAATTAAACATTTCTTTTGTTATATATTGTCGGGTTGTATGTCAATGTTTTTCCTTAAAAATCTTCAGATAAGCCAGTAAGTTCAGTTATAAGAGAATTATGTTCCTCCTGAACAGCTCAGAAAATTCATATCAAAGCACAGCATAAATGACTACCATTCTACTCCTTCCTTATGCACCCATTTTCAAGTTAGTGCATTGAATGCTCAAAACTGAAAATGATACATTAAGAAGAGTTCAATTACAGTGAAGGTTATGCTTTCTTGTCCAAAAGCAATTGGTTTTGCTACTTTTAATGCCATTAGATTCAAGATTAGACCAAGTAAGAAAATTAGATGCTAAGAGTTTCAAGTTGTCTGCTAGGTTTTGAGATTTTTCTCCCTGCCAAATAGTATTCAAGTACATTTACCAATTGTACAGCATTTCTTTTGAAAACAGAACCTTCAAAGCATCTTTTTATCTAATAAGGTCACAAAATCTTAGGTATAGGACTGTTGCAAGAACACACATAACACATAATCCTAACCCATTTTCATCAAAAAAATAAAAACTTAAAATTTTATTAAATTTCAAAACATCTGGTGATTTCTTGAATGTCCCAGCTTGTGAAAAATCTATTACACTAAAGCTTGACTCATAGAAGCCTGATCCCTTTTCATAAGAAGACAAGTCAGTGAATCAGCATCTTCAGAAGGTTGCATTGGTGTTGCACTGGACATTGCAGCATTTCCAGGATATACACCCAATTCTTGGCCTGCATTATTTCTGATGAAAATAGAGGCAGTAATCTCTCCACTTATAATGTCTAAATTAGGTTACTATAAATCACGGATTTATGACAAATGAGATAAACATTCCCAAAATACCTTTTGGCAAAATGCTTTTGGACTGCAATTTTGCCAGATTTTTATTTGTCTGTAAAATTGTCAGTGTATAGTGTACAGAGACATCATTTAGGTTCTGTCACACCACACAAAAATGCTTTGATGTGTAGCTCTTTCTATTGGTATAGGTTGTGCATATCCAGTGACAATCCAACTTCCATTTTATTTGGGCACATGAACTTCCATACAAGCAAGTCTTAAAAATCTGTCGAGTTTGGTATAAGTACAAGTAGGCGACATAATTCTGTAATTTCCTGCTTCAGTCTACATTTGCCCAATTTTAAATACAGTATTAAAAGAATGGCTTTTTATAGGTTAAGATTACTGACTTGGATTTATTTCTACACAAAGTATTTATCTGATTCCTCAAAACATTGTAAAATAAAGTTTAAAAGCTTCAGTTAGTTTTTGAAGTTGGATTTAACGTGTCCCACCGCTTTATTACAACGAGACCACAACTCTCAGTGGTGCAATGCTACCAGTAAGAACAATCTAATAAGGATGACGCCCAAATTGGCTGAGACTGCACAGACCAATACCACAAAACTGTTTTCACGTCTACATGCTGAAGCTTGCAAGATTTTTATAAACCAAATAAAAATTATTTACAGGCAAACAGAAAGCAAATGATTAACAGTGTACTTCACTTTTACTTTTATAATGCAGAGCAGAAAAGAGCAAATGCTAATCTGAGAAAACGATTTCATAGTGTGTCAGAAGTATGATTTCTATTAGAAATGCACAAATTATGCCATGCAGTGCTTTCAAATTCACAGAAAAAGTATTATAAAAGTGAAGTCCTGCTGTGTCAAATATGCCACACAATTGTTGTTCTGATAACAGCTATTTAGGTTAGGGCGTGACTTTTCTCTGATATAGCTGTGCTAGTACAACCCCTAGTGTGGACACGGTTTACTGCCATGAAGGCATTATACCCGTGTAACTTCTAAAGCTTGTTCCTAAGAAGGCAAACTATTAAGTAAGGCACTGTTAGCTCAGCACTGCTACATCCACCATGGGAGGGCTGTGAGAGAAAAAGAGAGGGCAGTAGGTTATGTTACTTTACAACATACTGGGCCAGATGAACAGATGCAGGTTTTGTGTGGAGAAACTGCGTGGTATATGTCTTTCCCCCTCTCCCTCATTAATCCTAATGTTAATCAGGATCATGATGGGTGATATTACAAAACTCTTATACAATTTAAATTGTAACACTGCTCTTTGCGTTTTCATTTTTATTCTAAGAAATATTTATGTCAAATATTAATAACAGGTAGTCATAGCAAGGTGCCAATATTTGTTATTAGTCTTAATGGAGAAGGGATATTAGAATAAAAGAGAATAGTACCAAAGATATATACTCCCTCGAATTTTCCTAAATGATACAAGTTCAGTTTTTAAGAACATCATAAATATCACTGTAGGATAAATACATATCTCTATTTACTGACATAGTATATGTATCTGACAATCCTAAATAGTACACATGGGGAATTCTGCTTCTTCCGACACACCTGAATAACTTTAATCGCTTTTTAAAAGTCACTACATATAAACTAAAATACATATTCAAAACTAAAATTTACCCACAGCACAATTAAAAATATAATCATACCTCAAGAAACAGTAAACTCACTTTCAATATATCAGGACAATCTGAAACACAATTCTTTGCTTTTTAAACAGAAAAATCTACCATTTAATGTAGAATAGCATGAAAATATTCATACATTATTGTCTCTCTACTCTTCAAAAATAAATACGTATTTATTATGAACAGATGGTGGCCAAGGAAAGTATCAACTCTCCCTCTTAGCCAGAAGGTCAGGTCATGGCTGAGAGACCAAAGAACAATTACGGTTTGCTATTCAGTGCCATATAAGATGAAACATTCTAGGTTTTTCTTTAAATACAAAGCTAGATGCAATTGAGCTGTTTTCATTTCATTTAAATGAAATAATTTGGAATGACTTAACATTTGTTAAAATTTTATTCAAAAAAAAGTGTAAACAAACAAAAAACATCCCTCCAATAACAAAAAACAACAAACACCCAAAATGTACACACATTCTTTGATTCATTTTTAACATATTTAATAATATTAGGACCTATACAGAACTTCCTTGGTTACTAGAGCCACAGCAATAAAACAGCTGCTAAATGCTGAGCCTGAGAATTTCAAAATAGTGTTTTCATTTTTTTAAGGAACCAGCAATCATATTTGAACAATATAATTACCGTACCTAATTACTGAATTACTCTAATAATCTTTGCTGATAGGAAATCCCCCTCCCATCACTTCACTTTAATTATATCAAATCATAAATCACCACATTTTGGTGTATTCATTCCCACACTGAATAAAATACCAGTATGTCGATACACAAGGTTAAAATATTTTGTTAAATTTTGCAATTTGTTCAAAAGGCAATCCTGAAGCAAGTTGGAGGACTGCATTTAAAATCCAAGATACTTCTTCAAATATCTTATTAAACACATCCTGTTTTATTTTTATGCCAAGATTATGCCAGCTCTCTTATCTGTGATATCTGTCAAGACACAGACAACAAGCCTGTTTTTTGTTTTTCAAAGTGTCCTTAGGCCTAAAGGATGCAGGAGTTCAAAAACAAAATCCAACCCTGAAAACTAAATGCTTTAAGGCCCTTGTTTCTCTGCACTGATTTTCTATACATATTGAAGAGTTATTTAATCTAATAATTTTTTATTTTGGATTTTGCATATCTTTTGCTTATAATTTGAATTAATGTTGCTTCCAGTCTAAGCTCATACTTTATTAAGTTCATAAACTTACTGTCCTACATGAAGACTTTAGGGAATTGGTAAATAAAAATATAATTTTAGAAATACTGACTTTTCCCCCTACATATGTTCTCACACAGGGACAGATTTGTTCACTTATTTACAAGGAAAAAAATATTTTAAAACTGTTGGATAGGCTGCACTAATAACAAAAATTCCTATTAAAAAAATTATCCTCATGTGCACGTTATACATCTGTGTATTCAGAAGACATCCACTCTCATGTGCAAATCACAACTTATGAATAACTAAGTCTCAATACCTAGAGAAAAACGGATAGAAATTCAAGCAAAAGGGCACTTCAAAAGATGCAGATTACACCTGTCCAAGCTGGTTGCCAAGTATGTCGCAGGCTAATAATCTTTCCTACTGCATGGGATGTTTTCTTAGACTACCTAGAAGGCATATACTGGTTTTTGTATTATTACAAAACACACTTTTAGATAATCAGTAATTAATGCCTAATGGAGTTTTTGTACAGTTATTTTTTTCTAGAAGCTTATTTTTGGTTTTGTTTTTTTTTAAACTTTTCTATGAATCCCAGCATTCATTAACCTTGGATCTTTAAAGAAACTGGAAGACAAATGATTTTCATTTTTTGTATAGTTAGGTTATACTTAAGACTCTTCAATGTTTTGTGAGGCTGCATGTATACATAATTATGTGTGGATTTATTTGTGAGAAAAAGTGTATAAACATATGTATACAGTACATACAATTTAAGTACATTGTATGAATACATATGACAGTAATTCTATATGAAAGCATGTGATGAGTATTATGTAAAACTGAACATACTAGGGTTGAAAACAAAATTAAGACAATGAAGAGGTATTTATTTAACAGTAATATTGGCTTGTTGCCAATAATTTAGAAACCATTTAACAGTAATAAATGACCACTATTAGAAAAATTAATCATTCCAGCTTCCGATATAACCTTACTTAGGCTTCTATTAACTGCAAAGTTATAGCAGTATTATCTCTTACCTGGTCCTTAATTTCAAGCTGCCTTATAGTTTTTGTTCTGTACTCTCTGAGCTCCTTTTCTGCCTCATCCTTCTTCATTTTGGTTTGATTCAACTGATAGCGCATTTCTCCACACACCTGTTAGATTATACAGACAACACGATCTGGAGCTTGAAGAATCCATAGCCCAGGCTTTGCAAATAGATCTTTTGGTGCCCTCTAGAGGTATTTTAAATGCAACATATTTGAATTTACAGATATTTTAAGACTACATATGGTAAATGTTTTTATACAAAAAGGTGGATCTGAATTCTCTGTATAGTCATTAACTTTGAAATATGCAGTGCCTTCTAGACTCAAGTATATTTGGATCAAGATTTTGCTAAGTATAGATGTTTATGTTGTAAATATACGTGCCACTAAATACAGTTAAACTACAGTTACTGGTTTTATAGTCTTCTCCCATTCTCTCTAAAATCCAAAGAAAGTCTATGTCAACACTTTCAAAACCTGGAAGTAAAGGATCTACCACAATCCTATATAAAGGTGTAGTTTCTTATCTTGCCAATTTTCCACTGTTAAGAAAGAAAATGGTTAGAAGTTAATACAATAAGTTGGAAATTTAGACCAGAGCGTTACAGGCTTACTACAAACTGAATTCTTTAAAAACAATGCTTAATTCAGATATATGTATGGGTCAGAAGAAAAGGATGAAAGCAACATTTAAATAAACCTAGTACCACTTCCACAAATGCAACAATTAGTCTCTGCTGTTGGGATGTTTGTTATGTTACTTCTTCATTCCTTTCCACCTGAAGGCAGCCCAACTTCAGAGGGTCTGGGGAGGGGTTAGGGGAAAGAAAGGGAAAGAAAAAACAACCAAAAACCCTCACCAATCCCTCCAATATAGTTTTCACTAGTGCTGTGCAGGACGTTATTCTCCCAGTCTAAGACTTTTAAATGATTCTATTTGACCTTTTCTATAGGGAATGGAGAAGGATGGAGGATAACCTGTCCCCTTTTTGTTCTTACCCTGTGAAATCACCTCCAATTTGTGCCTGTTCATTTCACCTTAATTAACCAAACATACAGATATGCACATTCTTCAATGAGAATGCAAATGTGTTTACTCACAGCTACTCTTACAGAACTTTCTTTTCAATTTACTCAGCTTCCCAGCCCTGCTTACATTCTTTCACCAAACTTGCTTCCTAGGTGGGCACACTTCTAATTTGCTGCTACAGTCCTCTGTGCTTCACAATCTCCTCACACACATTCTACAACTCAAATTAATTTCTATGTTGCAGTCTCATACATCTTCTCATTTTCACTATTTTTTTTACAGCTCGTGAACTTAGCCCTCTTGCAAATAACACAATGAAGCAAATGCTCTGAAAAATGGCAAAGTTCTAAAGCATTATCTTTTTTAATACTGACATATCATATGCAACTAAAAAAATCCTAGGATGCAACTGCATGGCTTGCCAACCCCGTCTTTCTACCTCCTCCTTTCTTTATTTGAAAGATGTAACAAAGTGCAATATGTCATTTCCTCCAAGAAAAAAAAAAAGAAAATACAGCCATCCCTGCCTTCAGCTCTCCCAAATATCGTACAAAGGGAATAATGCAGAAGAATCAGCAGATGGTGCTGTCCTAATAATGGACAAACTCCTTGTCATTCAGAATGAAGGAAAAAGATTCTCACTCCAAATTTTTTTCCCTGACTTCGGGTGCATGCAGGAAAAAATATTTCAGATAAAACTCAAATAGAAAAATGTTGCTCTTTGCTGTTTTTAATAATGGCAAACCGAGTTTGGAAACAAAGAGTCAGATTCACCAGCAAGACACAGATGTCACTTACATAGTCAATGATAAGGTCAGGGTGTTGCACAAAGTCCCAACAGCAAAACGGTCAGGACCTTCCTCCAGGATGTTTGAGACTTCTCAATTCAGAACAGGAACACAAATGCAGTTTTGCCATCTCTCAGGACAGTGCAACAAAAACACAGCACAGACTACTGCAAGGTGACCACCTACTCAACTTTGCATTGATTAACATTAACTGAATCGGGGACTGGAACCACCGTGTCACCTCTCCTAGGAGTTCACTTCAAAACTATAAAAGTGCTCTTACCAGACCAATAGATATTTGTACTTACTACCTCTTTTTTCCCCACCATCCCTGTAAGTGGGGCTAGTCATCTGTGAATCCAGTCTGAAAACACAAAAGTGTATTTCAGAAATGGTAAAACAAACCCTTTTGACATTCTTAAAATGCTCCCTCATTTGTCTTTCAGCTGAAATTGAATTAAATTTCCTAGTAAGTTTGGATGAATTTTTGCTGTAGATTTTATGCTATATTTTCACTTATTTCTGACAGCAGGGGCAGCAGAGGAAGACAGGAACTGATGAAAACCCCTTCAGAAGTCTCTAGAGGCCTAAAGAATGAATTGCTAGCCAAAACCTTGCAGTTAACAACTGGGAGGTAGGATTGGCCCTAGGATTATTGGTAAGCTATGCAGATGTTTCAAGAGGCTGCAACAAATTTGAATTCTCGGATTGTTGTTCCTACAGACATATAGCAACCCCTCATCTTCACAAAGCTGAAGTTATTTCTGTAACAAGTGAATGATGAATCTAAGTAAATAAAAGTAAGCACTTTAAAATGTGTCATCTGCCAGCATAAATTTTGGATGGCTGTTTTTTGGGGTGGTTTTCTTGTTTTGGTTTGGTTTTTTTTGTTTTATTTTGGTTTGGGTTTGTTTTTGGTTTTGTTTTTTTTCTTTCTTTCATGTGTTATGAACTGCATTAAGGCTCTAATTGGTTGAGAAACACTTGAAAAATAAAAACACCCAGAAGTGATACACATATATAAAAAAATAGATGTTAATCTATAATCCTTAACTGGAAGAAAGATCTCTTTGTAAAAGGCATGCCATCAACATTAATGAGTACACCGCATACTAATTCTACAGGAAAATACTCAAAAAACCTGTGATTTGATACAGCTCCCTTTATTTTAGCACTGCATATCCCAGAGTTGGCGAATACTCTGGTGTCTCATTCACTTCAAACGCAACTTTAAATGAAACACTGGATTGCAGTTTTAAACAGCAATTTGCATAGTCTGCAAGGTAGAAAGCTTAGCTTTTGCATCTCAAGGTAATATGGCAGACTGAAAAAGTCATGTTTCTACTCATCACACTGTGTCTGGGATTTTCCATGAAGCTTACATTTATCAAATGTACTTTACCGATAGAGAAGAAAACGCAGAAAAAAATATTCTCAGTTTTCAAGCCCCACTGATAAAGAAAACCAAGCTCAATACTCATTTATAAATGTGTTTACCTTATTCATCTCCATTTCATGAGATGCAAGCTGATGTTGTGATTCTTCTAACTGGTTAACCAAAGAGTTCTTTTCCCTCGTGATTCTCTCTACCTGAGCCTCCAACATGGCCACATTCTCAGACATGGCCATCACCTGCAAAAAGCCCAAGAACACAGTAATGATCACAGTAATGGTCACAGTTTGACCAACCACAGATCTAAATCTTGTGAGACGTTTTCCTTGATAGCAACTGTATTTATGTAGCCAAAATACAAAGTGTTAAACATATAATAAAAAATTAAATATATACAATAAAATATAAAATATCAATTAAAAATACAGAAGCATATGACTAAATTTTAACAATAGGTTCACTATTTTTAATTAATTTATCATAGAGCAGTTTAGTTGAAACTTTTCATCAACCGAAGTAGTCTCCAGGACTTGCTAGTATGGACAAAGTGTCAGAAGCAGCTGGTCACATCAGTCTTGCAGCTGTAAGAGTACTATTTAACACTTTCTTATCCATCCTTATGCAGATTGATTTAAACCAAATCACGTTCCCCCAGGTAAAGAAAACTGTCATTGCAACCATAGATCTTAAATTAATTTTCAAGTTCAGAAGCACTATAGATCAAAGCAATATGGTTGTACAAAAACCATACTGGAATGGTATGTTAAAAATTCTAATGTAATTCAGATCAAATTTTGCTGAATGGTAAAAAATAAATGTAACAATAAAACAGAGACAGTGACCCTTCAGCTATTTAGCCCTGAAGCTTACTAATATATGTGGAAATAATGGTGTCTGACAGTTCTAGGTTAACTTACAGGAATTGAAAGCCAAACCTAGAGGATTATATATTCATCACTATTTTTCACTCATTATACATCCACCTGATTTATATATCATGCCAATTCTCCCCTTCAAACAATTCAATTCATAAAGTAAGCCATAAAATATCCATATGGAGGATGACTTGACGAACAGTATATAATTTCTACTATTTCATTTTCCTGAAACATAAAAGTAGTTAATCGTATATAAATGTAAGCCATAAATATAGATCATAGTTTTCTACAAAGTCATACCATATCTTTAATTACCATGCATGGCATCACTATATTGTCAGTATATGTTGTTTAATGTGTATGTAGGATTTAAAAAAAGGACTACTACTCAAGGTGGGAATCAGTTCCCGTAAACCACATCTCAGTGATGAAATACCAAGTGACGTGGTGACACTAAAGAGTGAACTATTCTACTAACAAAAGTTTAGTATGCTCTGTTGTAATGGTCACAGTATAAATGAGACAGATTCTGTCTCAAAGAGTTTATAAACATCAGGGGAAGTGCGAAAAGTGAGGAAAAGTGCCCACGTTTCTTCAGGTGGGCAAATTAAGCATACAAGATCATTCTGGAAAATACTGTATTAGTATGCAATTACCATACTGTAACACTAATATATATGTGATTCTGTAACATTAATATATATGTATATGTAAGCTCAAAGTATCAAAGAATCCTAATTTCGATATGTACCAACTTCTGAATGCCTGACTTAGCAACCTAAACAACAAAACTTGCATCACATATTGCTTAACCATCCTCTACTTTGACAAAGTGCATTAGAAATTATTACGCAAACTAAATTAAAGTGCATAACGTCAACAACTTAATATGTATCCAGTGACACAGCATAAAATCCAGTTATTCAGACTCAAAGGATCGCTGTAAGTCACCTATTACTGCTCTAATGCAACGGTGGAAGTGATTTACTGAGCTCTCAAATCCAAAACTGAAACAAAACAAAAGACAAGCAAACAGAAAGTTTAGAGAGGACTATACGTTCATTGGAATACACAAATAGAAAAAAACCCAACTCATACCATTGCTGCCAAGTCCTCCTTTTCCTTCTTCATTTCTTCCCGCAGTGCTGCTTTTTCGTCAGTCCTTTTATTGAACTGGGCAGCTAACTCTCTTTCAAGAAGATTCTTCTGCCGTTCCATCTCACTTTTCAGCTGCTCACACTGGACTAGAGCCTAGAAAAAGTTATTTTTTCAAGTAGATAAATTAAAATTTCTAACAGATATGGTATTTATCTAATGCCTTCAGAGAAACCAATCTGCTATTAGAAAGGACTTTTTTTTTTTCAAACAGTTATTATGATGTTTATAAATACCCTATCATGTTAACATCTAGAATATGACTAAAAAATTTAGAACAGATGTACACGTTTGTCTGTATAGACATGCCCTTCTGTAATTTATAAATCTATCACGTTTTAAAAGTTATGGCAAAGATGGAAGCATTTTTCAGAGTATATTTTCCAAATAGGTAGCTCTTCTTCTAAAACTAAAGATTATTATTTGCCTTGCATTTAAAATTCATGAACGTATTTTACTAGAACCAGCCTTCAAAATTTGACTCCTTGCAAACACTATGGTTACTTCCTAACTACATAGCTGAAGGAAAAATAAGTAAACAAGTAAGTAAACAAAGAATGTATGCACTTCTACTTGTTTTCATTCTGAATTGAATTACTGAATGCAGAAGGGTAAAAAGAAACCTGGAAGATAGATGTAAAGTTAAAAAAAACCAAATAAAAATAAAATGTTTCTTTGAATTTAGTTTCAGGTTTGTCATATAAAGAAGATTAATCCTACTGAAAACTCCTACGTTTTCTGTAGAAAACATGTTTTCTATCAAAATAGAAGAAACAAATTTATATGCAAGAAGCATAGTGGACACTATCTTCTAAAAATGCTAGGAAAAATAATATCTATCAATTTATGCTGATGTATCCCTGCCAAAAGAAGAGGAGTTGAGTGTTATGTCAGTCCAAATCAGAAATACACTACTCCATTATATTAATCAAAGTACTCAAAGCACCCTAAAGGCAGCTTGCTAACCCATGAGTAAACTAGATTTCATTTCATCATTTCACTGATATTCAGCATATCCTATTTCAAGTAAGCTCCTTTTAGGATTCCTACCTTATTACCCTTTATTTTCAAATTAGTTTTTTTGAAGTGTTTTTTAATATTTCTTTCACTCAAAGCCAATCTCCTATATGCTATTTCCGTGGTGTTGGGCTGCTCATAAGGGAAGCAAATTAAACCATAATTTTTAGAGAATACTTTAGCAGTCTCCATTAGTTCACGGCAATTCTGCAGGACCCTTCTCAGGGTCTCTTTCCTATCACAAATCTACCCGGGCGAGGGACTCCCTTCGTCCTTACCTTGAATCTTTTTCTGCAGGAATTTATCAGCAGCACACAATTGTCTGCATAAGACTGGTGTAGCTTGGTAGACTTGTACAACAAGGCAACTCCAGAAGAAATGAGTTGCAAGAAGAAATGTGTATTTTATTAGCTCTACTGTTTTGACTACATAACGACCAGTTTAAACAATTATTCTTCTATGATGTTTATGTTGAAAATACATGCCTGAATTTGCTTCAGCTATGGAAGTTTAACCTTATCAGATCTCTCCTTGCTCTATGTAATAGGCAAGAGGCCACAAACTAAAGAGACAATGGAAAGACAATTAAAAAAAGGGTGACTTTAAAAAATAAGCACCTGAAGTTAGACTTTCTGTAAACAGAGTGATGAATTTCCAATTATAACTCATTGGGCTTCCAAAAACTAACTCCTTACTTTTCTTACCTGTATTGTTCTAATGGATTCCATGAAAACCACAAAGAAAAACAGTGCTTCACCTTAAGAGTAGAATAGGACTGGGAAAATAAAGGACGGTTTGTACTTACAAAAATAAATACCAGGGCATGTAAAAACATTACATAATGCAGCAAAAGTAAAAGATTTCTTCCTGTTCCTTCATATTACAATAGTTTTTGAGGACTGAAAAAACAGACTACTATTCAGTCTGGTATACAAACAGTACTTCATATTTTCTTGCTGCAGTGAAAAGAGTGACCAGTAGAGACCCTACGAAGCCGCGTTCTTTGTGGCAGAAATAGTATAGGCATGAAGACGCATTTTGTGAAAGGTTCTACTAACTTGTCTTACTAAGTTTTATTCTTAGGCCGCATTTCTAACATGAGCTACACTGAAGGAGAAGATCAGATAACTTCACTTTACTGTATAGAGGAGGAAAAGAATTTGTGCAGTTTCAAATAGCAGTAAGTGAAAAACATTTCTATCAGACAGCTGTAGAAACCAATCCAAAAAAAGTAAACAAGCAATTTAAAAATTTAAACCCTCAGGGACAGGATGTGACAAGTGAACAGTGGGCTCAGAAGGATTCTCTCTTTTTTCCCAGAAAAGGACAAAGAGCTGTAATACTCTGAAATGAAATTTATCAAGTACATAGGATTTCAAACTCCGTATTCTTACCTCACTGTTTATAGTTACCCTACAGACACACACACTCTGTTACAGCATTGGATGAATAATACTGATTTGATCAATAGAACAATTACATCAACCTTGTCCACTATAAAAAGAACAGAATTTCATTTAAAAAAAAATCTCTCTCAATTCTATAGTAATTCACTAATAATACAGTAGATGTCACTAAATATCAAGGAAATAATTTAGGTCACTACCAGTTGTATGGAGTAACTAGGGCTAACACAAGCATTAGATCAAAACTGGTTTTGCCATTATTATTTACATAGCACCATAAACTTCCTGTAGGTAGCACCAGACAGAACTTCTCATCTTCAGAGAGTTCTGTTAGCTAATCCGTACTCTTTCCAGAGTAGATAAAAAAATGTGGTATGAGAATGATCCTCCTATGTGTCATGAATGCCTTTGAAAATTCTACCATTCGATTTCTATCACCTAGCTGTGAAACCACATGAGAACTTAAATCATGGCCAAAGAATGCAACTCACCCTACAGCCTTGATGAGAATTTAAAAACTCAAACATAGAGTTTATGTTACTGCTCAGAAACAGCCACACAGTGCAATCCTTTTAAATCTACCACATCATATCAACATGAGATAAAGGTCTTATGTGTGTACTCTCTCATTAGCATGAAAACTAATTGATATTTGCAGTAGATGTGAATACCGAAAAGCTCTCGTTTCTTGATGAATTTACCTTTGTTTTTTCTAAATTGGCCTCTTCTGCCATTTCCACAGCTTGTTTAACTTGCTCACAAGCATTAGCTTCTCTTTGCTGCATCTCTTTCATGTGTCGTCTCAGGGAGACAAGCGCATCTATCAACTCGTCTCTTTCTCTACGTATAAAGAAAAAACAGATATTTATTCTGTACTTTTTCTCAAAAGAAAAAAAAACAACAGGTATATCAAGTATGAAATGTTAACAGAAAAAAGACATAAGAGTGGTAAGCAAGACTAAAACCAGTATGGGTTAAGAGTGAAAAACAGCATGCTGCTTGCTTGGCAGACACTAAAAATATCATTTGCTTGATGACCAGTCCTTCACTTCAGAAGGATGGACCATTAGTGAAACTGCCTGTAATGACAGCAGAGCTCAAGTCATAAATATATTGAATCTGAGCAACATTTCATTGCCATTAAAAAATGAGGATACATGCTCAAAAAAAAAAAAGGCAAGTAGTACTGAAAAAACATATCAAAGCAATATGAAATTACACTGTCATTAAATGTAAAATAAGGAGGAAAAAAATAAAGGGAAGGGTTAAGTTCAACAAGTAATGCAGATCATTAAGTATATCAAATTAAAATCAATAGTCCTTTGCTGCTAACTGGACTGAAACTAAATAGGAAGACTTCTGGATTCTACATCCCCTCCAAACTTCTGTTAACTAAGAACTTGAGCTCTATACCAAACAGTGAAACAGTTGATTAAACTGTAATACTTTAATTCACCTTTTCAGTATTTCGATACGTGGAAAGCTTTTAAATTAAGATTATAATTGTCTGTGATTTAGGTGCAACTAGAGATTGGGGCTGAAAACGGTTGTATTTGTTTGTTGTTTTTTTGTTTTTTTTTCTTCATATTGTGTGGAATGTTAACACAGTTGTATTTGCCAGAGAACTAACAGTCAATATTTTAAAATTTCATTTCAATAAGAACTGAACAAAGTCCCTTTGAAAATCCTTATTGAAATATCTTTGCTGTTACTAAGTTGCATCACAGGAAGATGTAGCTTTCAGATTTTGTTAAATCTCAAACTGAAATAATGGTTTAAGAAAGATAAATAGGTCAGCTCAAATCTTTTATTTCAAACTGCACTATAATACAAGATGGCAAGAGCATACTGATTGATAGTTTGCTCATATTTTCCAGTGTCTGTGACAAATAATTACTTTTCTTCTTACAAAAGTAGATTTTGAAACATGACTTTTGAGCAACAGAGAGCTTTCCCAGAAAATTCTTGGACTTGACAACAGAAAAACACATAAATCCTAGCAACAGTCATCTAATGTGTAGAGATAATGTCCATTTGACAGACTACATGCACTACATCCTTTCAGTCTTCTTGCTTCTAATTGATCCACTACCTCCTCTCCAGTGGGGTTATTCTAAAACTTCAGAAATCCTAAGATGCTCCAGGTGTCTGTCAGTAAATAGAAGTCTGTTTAGCAAACTTTGAGAAAGCTGCAGTATCCTATGATTATTTCTAGCAAGTAGAAAGGGAGAGATTTTTGAAGATGATTAACTAGCAGAATTTCTTACAGTAAAAAATTTTAATGCTGTTGAGATTTATGAATTATATATATGATATTCAGCCTGTATAGCTGTTTTTTTGATTTTTTTTAAAATAAAAGCTACAACTAAAAAAAGGCCATAGCAAATAATTTCGTTTCTTTTTATCCATAGGAACTTCTTCCCCTGACTTATTGAAGTTAGGAAGAAGCAATGCATGCTATCCAAAACACCTGATCTACTAAGTAAATTGAAGGGAAAAAAACCCACTAGTAAGAGTTCCCCAAATGTAAGGAGAATAAAATGAAGCCAGAAAAACAAGCAACTTTTGGAGGAAATCAAGATATATGGACTTCCATCATATTTGTTCTGACAGTGTGAAGGGTTTGTTTGTACAAAAAGTGCAGAAAACAGACTATCAGCAGTCTGATTATCTGGACAGCACAAGGTATCGTAATTACAACATAAATGCCTAAAATTCTTTCCCAGTTGAAGTAAGTCATAAAACCACCATGGATTTCAAAGTGGTTGGGACCTATGCTCATATTCTGCCATTGATTTTAGCATTGTAACCTTAAAAATTAGAGTCCATTGTTCCATAAGTGCACATCTCTCTATGAATGCAACTGAATACATTGAGACTTACATGGTTTCATGTAAGCAACTGTACTTTCAACAAGAATGTAAAATCCCCCAAACCTACTTTGTTACCCTCTCAATGGTCAGCACATGAACATTCGAATGAGTCTGTGCAAGAACTGCCTCATGTTGTGCACATTTCAGACACAGACCACCAACCCGGCTAGGATTTGTGGCTGAAACAAGTGACTTCTGGTGTTTAAGCCTTCCTTCCAACTCTATGCATGTCTTCTGAGATTCTGAAAGGTCTTTCCTAGAAAGAAGAAATAAAAGATATTATTTGAGTAATCAAACATTTCTACAAGTTATATTTATATGTAATACACAATTACAGATGCAACCTAAAAAGAACTGTAAGGATACCTGTAACTAACACTATTTCACACATTTCAGTAGGCTAAGGAAGACTAGCAGAGAAATAATAGTTGAAATGCCCAATCAAAATTATTAATAGACAAAAGAAAGTTATATTAGTTTCTTCCTTCCCTCTGTACTATCAGAAGATAGCAAAGTTACACAGAAAATTATTAGATAAAACTTCTAGGCTTACCTACTGTCCAAACAGAGTAAACATTTCATTAGCAAGCAACATTATCAGCTATGTAAATACTTCAATACCCTAATCTTACCATTTTTCTGTTATTCTTACCAATAATACGACTAGCTTCACATTTCTTGTCTACTCTCAAATCAACTGTATAGTTATAATATAAAGTAAAGATCCCTATGCTTCCTAGGCAAAAGCCAAATGTATTCATCACATTCACTTTGATCCAGTGATTCACACAAACTTGAGGTCAGCCACATCTTCAGAAAAACAGGGGTTTTTTTAACTTGTCTCTGAATTTTTTACCAGGTGCTCTGAAGAATTTTCTCCAAAATTTCCAAGCATCTGTCAGGCTGAGGAGAGCGCAAGCAGTAGGAATGCTGACATCAGGAAGTTCCAGACAAATGCACACTGTGCCCATATAGATCAACTTGACAAATTGTGCAATAAATCCAAAGATTTTGGTTTTGTTATGCAGGCCATCTGGGCAGCACACATATAGTAAGTCTGACACATTCTGATTGCACTGGATTTCCTGTGCACATGATATATACACTGCATGCATGCTTATTTCCATCTGGGAAATCTTCTGTGCACTTTTTCCAATTTTAGTAGTTGGTGTATTGAATATAATCCACTATTACCTGGACAGAATTATCCTTAGACAGTCATGGTATAACAGACCTATTGTTAGGAAATCTTGGACAGAAATTTGCAAGTCATATGTAAATTCATGTTTCAAGTTAAAAACAAGGATAGTCTCACTGAAAGTGATATAATTTGTCACTTCAATTAAAATTTAGCAAATGCTCAGGTTTAAACTGTAGAACTTACAGTGTGAAAGATCACACCCCTTAGGAGAAATCAAGAAGCTGAATAACGTACTTGTGGAAATTTGTGGACTATTTTAGCCTCCAATATTTATTTCTGAGCATATATAACACTTGAAGCCAAGGTGGGGGGCAGCAGGGAAATTGAAATCCGTAACTGAAATTTAAGATCCTCCTTTACTTTCACTGGCATAATTGGCTTTGCATGTTTAAGATTTTACCACTGCAGAGAGCATATTTAAACTTGTTTCCCTACCACTAACTCTTTTTACACACACAAATCTAGAATTTTCAGATATATGAAACCACAAATTATTTAGGGAAAAACACAACTAAATAGATTCAGCAGCAGTATGAATGCAGGTGTACAGGCACAAGTTTATTCGAGAAGACCAAGTCTTAAGGTTGCCTCTGCCTCTGTTTTTCCATAATTTGCTATATATTCAAACATTTAATGTTTTGAGGAACACATGAGGACTTATTTTCAAATATTTTTTTGTTTAAAGATATGCAGGTTACATGACTGAAAACATTGCCTGCATGCTTCAAAATTAGTTTTTCCTGCTCCAAAATCGTTACATGGCCTAAACCAGTTCAATGCTTAGGATCTCTAAAACTTACGTTATAAAATACTAGTAGAAGAAAGCTAAATACAGAAGAACTTAACAAGTTTAAATTTTAAGTTCTCTTTTTGTTTTAATTGATCTACTTTAACAGACATAGGTTAAAGACAATTTATATTGAGTTGTAATTTCTATAAATGCAGTAATTCAATTGAATTCATAAAATTTATATTCTGCTAATGTTGCTATATAATAGCAGTACATTCAATTTTGCCACATTTATATTTCAGAAAACTTCAGGTAAAACCAGCTTTCAGGGACACTATCAGAAAACATGACATTCAGATATCCAGGCATTCTCTTACTTAAATTCAAATTCAGAGTGGTTCATGTTGTTATGAAGTGGTAATTTATTAACAATAATTTTAAAACAAAAATAAACATTTCACTTTACCTTAAGGACTGTATTTGAGCATTAAGGACATCGACCTTTTCTTGATAAAGAAGTTTTAGTTTCTCCTTTAGAAAAGATGGGAGAAAAGAAGTGTCTTTCGCTTTCACCATAATATTGTCTTATTATTACATTAGATAACATTAGCCATATTCATTATTTTCCCCTGAAGATACAAACTTGTTGGAACACTAGGGGCAGAGAAATCTAAATATTTCAGACTTGTGAATGTCTACAAAATTAACAACTCTCCCATTTTCTTATTTCTGTACATCTTGACAGATCCCCATATGGTAAATTGCTCCAGCTTTAATTGCAGCCGTCTACAATGATTTACACCAACTGATGATCTTGTCTCATGTTTGCTCTTACTCTCCCACAAGGCAGCAGAAATAAAAAAGGAATTCTGAAGAACTTCAAGTAGACAGGCTATTGATTTATAATACAGTGAGTTACTCCTACCTGGTGAAGAACTGGAAATATAAATCAGCCACACCAATGTTAATACAATGGTGATAATGAACCAGATAAAAACACCAAAAATTTAGCTCGCTATGATGCTTAGAAAGAAGTCATAATCAATACAATTTTCTTGATTTAAATATGACAGATGAAGAAAAAAGTGCAATTACTGTAAAAACTAGCTTCCAAACAATTGCAGGCGTTCGACCTCACTAAAGAGGCTTTCAGCTCTAGATGAATATATTTTACTGGGAAAAATCAATAAATACACACAATTATCATGGAAAAATAAAAGTACCCTTTAAATTCCACAGCACGTATGCACGTGGATAAAATACATCAAAACTTTCAGTCAGCCATGTTTTTCCCAAAAGATGGCAATACTATCCCATTAATTTAGATGGAAAGAAAAAAAAAATCTTCCCAAACAAAAAATACAGGACTGAGACAGCACTGTCTTTGAATCACCAGGGCTCCTCTGTATCTCTAAAAGCACAATATATGCAATTCAGCTTAGGGAAAACAGACTGTGCAAAGCCACTCCCGTACCTTACTGAGCCTGTGCTGCTCCAGGAGCATAAAGACCCACTGCAAAAGAGCTTGTCTAGAGGGCTACCTAAATTATACCAGCTAATTCCCACCTGCTTGTGCATTG